TTTTATCTCTAATAATGCAGCGATCCTATTTATTAATTTATAGTTATATTATTTAATTAATTTTTTATAATAATATCTATTTATGAAGATTTGATGATATTGTAGATGAAGGTTGAACCTTGGGATTTAAATGAGTAAATATTACTAGGAGAGTGATTAAAATTGGGCTCATTTATCCTGACTAGTCACTACAAATTTAATTTAAATCTTCATAAAATAGAATGTGTTGAGGAAATTGAAACATATATATATATATATATATATATATATATATATATATATATTATAAAATTGTATTATTGTTAATGATAAATGTTCTCACTCCCTATTATGATCTTTTGTGCATGTTTTATTGAAATACCAACTTAAGTAGATGGAGACACCAAATATTCCAAATCCCTTTTCTATCACTGCCTTCTTTCTAAGAACTACTTAGAACACGAACATTATAGATAACTCGGTTACTTTTAGAGGGACCGGATTATCAATAATAACATTTGTATCTAATATGAGAAATCATATTATGTTAGATGGACCAATAGTAGTTACCTTTTGTATGTCTCCTACCTTTTTTCAAAACCCCTTAATCAGTTTGTTTCCATCGGTAATGTAGATATTTGTAAAATTGTAGAAAAAATAGAAGGAATTAAAAATAAAATTTCTTCTTCTTTTGTATATCTTATATATATATATATATATATATATATATATATATATATATATATATATATATATGTAAATTACTTTTACATGTAATTTTTTTTACCTGCTACTCTTATACAAATAATAATAATAAAAAAAATGTCACGAACCCCGAGAGTAAGAGCAAGGAAGATTTCACCCACTCCAACACCATTCAATCCCAAAACACAACCTTACCAATTGTATCCCTCACATACATACACTAGAAATTCATTAAAACACCAAAACAACCAATGCATGCATTTCTACTTGCTTTCAACATTTCCATATATACATATATTCATCCTAAATATATTATTTTCTTGAATAAATAACTTCCATTTATTTGGATATCCTTATAATCTAACTTTTCCAAGTACTTGTGTCATCCAAGGTTAACATTTATGCTTTAACACCTTAAATATTTGCATAACTAGAATAATATGAATTACTAATTAGTTGCCCCTTAACTTATAAATAATTAAGAAACATTATACATTTTAATTTTTCATTAGGCAAATTGATCATGTATATCTTCAACTCCAAATCAGAATACCAACAAAAATTTAGTACTCAAATTTAGAGAGAACTTGCTACTCAAATTATAAAGACAATTTAAAGAGTTTTATTCTAGTGAAAGAAAAAAATTATGAAAATAAAATTATTTTATTCTATTTATAAAGTGTTTAAACCAGGACCCTAGAATCACTACAAGATTGTGTCATAAAATACTAATAAATGTGTATAATAAACGATAAAAAAATACTATATCCTAGACTAGGCTTATTATGACTAGACTTATTGTCCAAATATTGTCTCCATATATGTACAAAATATCATCTAATCTCATGTAGTGAATATGATTATAACAGTCAAGTTCATGACAAGAAAATAAGGATAAGTTAATTATTCAAATAATAATTGATCATTTAACTTACCACACATATAATATTAAACAAGTATATTACATCACATCAAATTTCACTGTACTTCAAACTTAAATATTAACATTCATGTGTCACATTGAAATCGACATTAAACCAGATACTCTTTGGCTACCACAAACACATTAATCATTCTAAGTAAATCTGCACAAGCATAGTAACCATTCTAACATCACCACATAATACCTCCCCCAGTACCTACAATCACACACTATTATGAATCAATTCAGAGACTAGACTTAGTCTCATATACATAAATATATCCTAATCAATGGTGGAGTTTCTTGGGAGGTGAGAGGGACTATGACCCCCCAAATTTTTATAATTTACAATCTCCAAACTTAATGATTATTAAAATATTTACAAATTTGATCTCTTACTTTTTCATATTCTTTCACTTTTTCATATTCATTTATGATATCATTTCCTAATTCATTACACATGTCATATTTTTACATTTATAATAAACTGGATTTTTTTTAACTAAATACTATAAATGGATTTTTTTCAACTAAATACTATAATTATATATATATATATATATATATATATATATATTTTATTATTATTTGACCTTTGTCTACTTTTTTACTATAATTTTATCTCGTAAATATCTTTTTAGGCTAATTTTTGTTTCATTGTATTTCTCATTTTTTGAGACTTTAATTTGAATATATGGAACATAAAATTTGGACTTTGGAGCTACTTTTTTATGATTTTTAGAAGTTCAAACATAAAACATGCATTTCGCTTAAGCAAAAAATTCAACCGCATCAATTCTCTATCCTCTCGCTTGAAAGAAATTTTATCCAACTTAATTTTTGTTTGAGTGAAAATAGCCTTGCTTGAACAAAAATTGAATCGACTTGACTCTTACTTGAGTGAGAAACTCTTGCTTGATCAAACCACCATTGTCTTAGGTCGTCTCTTCTACCACCTTGTCCTTACTCAAGTGAATTAGGTCTCGTTTGAGTAAAAATTGGTTTGAGAAGTGAGATTTTTTTGAGTTTCTTGTCTTTCTTCATTCAAATAATAAAAAATACAACTCATTTGTACATCAAACATGTAATAGGAACATCTTACAACAATATTCCTTTCTAATGTCATTACAATACACTAGACATATATATATATATATATATATATATATATATATATATATATATATATATATATATATATATATATATATATACTTTCTTTTGAGACATATTATTATTTAAATAATCAACTTCCCTTACTTGCATATTCCTGAATCTTAACTTTTTTCTAATGTATGTGTAGTCTATAATTAGTGGCGAATTTGGACAATTAATTTTGAAGGAATCAAATAATATATTATTAATAAATAAGAAATGAATGTAAAAAAAAAAATAATATGATGAGAGGTCAAATTTATAAATATACAAAAAAATGTATTTAATAGTCATTGTGTTTGAAAGATCAAAATTATAAATATTAATATAAATTACAAAAATTTAAAAATAATTATTAAATTTGGGGAACCAAAATTATAAAAATTAATATAAGTTATAAAATTTTGGAGGGTGATGAGCCCTCATCTTCCAAGAAGATCCGCCACTATCCACAATCTATATTCCCCACATAACAATGATATATCTTATTGTCTTAATTCCCCCTTAAACTTAAAAATAAACAAAATTACAAAATAGAGAAAATGAGTTATTTGTTCAAAATTTTTATAAGATAGAATTCTTGTAATCCTTTTAGCTTTCCCGTATATCTTCTTGATCTAATATTCACCATGATTTTAGTATTTTAAATTTAGAAAAAACGTAGAGTATTCTAATATAGAGATGAAGTCTTAATAATGGAGTATATTTTTATATTTATAAATAAAAACCTAAGTTCTTACAAGAATAAATAAACTTATTTAAAAAATCACCATTACAATATCTATATATGTAGAAACAAATATTACAATATAATTTTTTTTAAGATTTGGATTTGGTTTTATCCCCGTTAGAGTGTAATTTCCCCCTTTTTTATTCTGTTTCTACTTTGGTGCCCAATATAAATTTGTTTGTATGCTATTAACAAATTAAAAATTAATTCGTTTTTCAAAAATTTAAATCATCTCGTGCAGCACACAGTACCACATACTAATTCAAAACTCATTAATTACAAAATCTTTTATTGCATAAACTATAATGTTCATAGGTTATGAAATAACAAAAATTCAATTTTTCCAATCCACCAATTCACTTTTAGGTTTTTATATTATTAAGTATTAAAAAAAATTCCATCAATATAAAAATATTTTAAGGTTATCTATAAAATATTTAGAAAAATTAAGTATCAAAAAATCTGTTCGCATATTCATATCTATCGTATATATACGTAAGTGAATTAAATATTTATATATTATTTATACTCAAAATATATATTTAACTAGTATTATATGAAGACACCACTGTAATCCAAACCACTGTATGATTTATATTTTTACTCCATACTTTAAAAGTATTGTAGATTCTTTACGTTTTCTGAATTTGTAATTGAATTCATAAATTCCTTATTAATGGCTTCAGTGAATTTTTTATATTAAAAGTTACACAATCGTATTTATAAAAATAGTAACAGAGGATTTTAGATGAGTGTTCAAATTGACAGGAATTCGCAACAATTTCAAACTTCAATGGCGAAGTCTGAATATTGTACGTATATCAATAATTAACTCAATATCAATAGATGAATGTTACACTGTAAAAATATATAAAATAGAAAATGTACCTATACAAAATGTTGTCTTATACTCTAGTTTAATTAATAAGTAATATGATTAACTATATTCTTTATATTTTATACTCTGTTAAGTTACGGATTTTGTTGAAACTTATTACATGATTATTATTGATATTTAACAATATTTGAACTTTAATAACATTGATATTCGGGGTTCTACATTTATATAAAAAAGAATAGTATTGTTTTAACTATAATTTCTTTAAAAAACTAAGACAATATTCTTTAACTGCAAACGTTAAACCTTTGACTATTTTTAATATGGAAAATGTTAACGTGCACATTAAATTTAAAGCAAAAGTTTTGGAAGTAAAATGTTAACTTCCAAATGCATTAAATTGTTCATTATTTATTTTGATTTTACGTTGACAAGAAAACCAGTTTTTTTTTTTTCTTAATTTAATACCCCAATAATGCATGATGAGAGTAGTACATGATAGTCCCCAACAACAGGGTTATATATATATATATATATATATATATATATATATATATATATATATATATATATATATATATATATATATATATAATGAATAGGTTTAGGTTATGAAACATTCACATCACCAGAAAGAAATCTCAGAATTCAGAAACTAAAATTCTCTGAAAATGGCTTTCCGCTTCTGTCAACCTTTTCTCTTCGGAGTTTTGCTTGTTGCTTTGGTTCTGACATCAGGTAAACTGATTTAGTTTTTAACGTATAATTTTCATGAGAAATAAAAACAAAAATCCATTGTTGCATGTGAATTTTATGGTGAAATTTTGATCTGAATGCAGTACCAGAAGCAGTAACAGGGTTAACTGATCCAGGGCTTCAATGCTCAGGGCTATGCACTACACATTGCAATGCAGTTTGCACTCACAAGGGATTTAAGACTGGCTTCTGTCTCAAACAAGGCTCTCTCAATCTTTGTTGCTGTTCATGATTGAGTTATATTCTGCCTATTATTTTATAAAACTATAATAAAATGTGTGCTTGAAACTTAGGGTTTCATTGTGATTGAATTCTGCACCAGGAGTTTGTGTTATCAAGTATCAGTGAAATTTTTTTATCAATAATCATCTATCTTTTCTTTCAAGACGTGCTTTTACACTTTGAGAATTTGTTTCTTAGAAAACTCGATCAAAGAACGTTAATACTCGTATTTGATTGATGTTGAAACCAAAACAGGTTAACTATATACTGAATATAGATTAAGTATAAAGAATTTTCGATCAGAAAACAATCATTCTCATATTAGACTTAAATACTTACATAGTGTTACGATTTTATGAAATGAAATTTTTTTTTTTGAACTTTTAGATTTTAATTGTGATATATTATTTTATTAATCGAATTGAATAAAAATGTTATTGATAATAGAATTTTGTTTAATATTTTGTGTCATCTCCACTTGTGACAGTACTAACAGGTTTCAGTTTTTATTATTAATAATTTTATTTATTATTTTAATATATATATATATATATATTATAAAATTTTAATTATTGATTATTATAATAATCAAAAACAAAAATATTTTTTAATGCACAAAGACATAATTAAATATTTATTTATATAATTGATCATGTTTAACAACATATTATTTTTAAAATTTTATTTATAAAAGAGATGATAAAATTTTATACTAATGTTGGGTTAAAATATATAAAAACATCATATTTCTTGGCAGTTTTCTTCTTTGAAAACAAACAAGGCATTAAAGTCTCATTATGATCCATCCAACCAGTCAAAATATAGTAAAAAAAATGTTTTAAAAATTAATAATTATAATTTTTTTCTTAAAAAAATAAAAATCAACCTAGAATATCAGCTATTTTCTTCTTTTATTTTACGTATAAACTTATATTGTTAAACCAATGTCTTAACAGATTCATTCAGTGATCAAATTCTAAAAACATTTTTATACAATAAACGCGAAAAGCCAATATCATCCGAGCAATTACAAAATAAAAATGTAAAAAATGAGATTTTTTTTTATAACAAAAATATGAAAACATTTTTATTCACAAAAGTGAGATAAGTATAAATGCTCTATTTGTGTGGAAAAAAAAATGTAAATATATATATATATATATATATATATATATATATATAACTTAAAAGAAAAATGAAAAATAAAATGGAGTTAGGGATTTATAAAACCCAAAATCTACTTTTTGTTTTTAGGAATAAAACTGGGCAATTGCTTCATGCACCACCATAATTTGACCACCCCATATTTTTGAGAAAACTGAGAGTAGAGGATTATGAAATACTTCGTATGGATCCTGAATACCTCCGGAAGAGTGGATCTGGAAAATTAAGTAAATTTATTTTGACCTATTTTCTTTTTTTTAACTGTGTTTTACTTTTATAAATACACATATAAGAAAAGATCGAATATCGAAAGTCATTTCTCTTTTAAAATTATCTACACAATGATTTCAATATAATACTGTTATAAAGTTTTAAAAATTAGTATTATAATATTCAGTCTGGAACTTGTTTGAAAATTAAAATTTTCAAATTATATGTTGAGTATAGGACTCATTTCGCCAATTAATATTTTAAGGCTAATTATCCATAATTCTAGAGATTTGTATTAAGTCTGGTTCATAATGAATGTTTTCAAGTTAATCATGTAAAATTTTTAAAATTTGTTATAACCACATTGAGTTTTGGACTACTAAAATTCTTAATTCAATCTTGTAATTTTAAAAATATTTATTATCACGTGTTTTAAATTTTTAATAATTAAAAATATTCAATTAAAATCACTAAATATTATTAAAAATTTATATTATTATGATGAGCCTCATACATTTTTAAAATATTATAAAAATACAGAAAAATAATAATAAAAGAGAGTAAAATAGAAAAAATTATAAATTTTATTAAAATAAAATTTGGTTACATTGACCTAAACTCTTGTATTTGGATAAATAATTTATAAAAGATAATTTATTTTAATAAATGATTTAAAATATGTAAAATTAGTTACTTGAATAAAGAATTTAGAAAGTAATTTAAATTTTAAAAATTAGTGAGAATCTTTTAATTACTTAAAATAAGATAATTTTAAATTTTACTTAAAAATTAATAATTAATAATTTTTTATTTTTTTCTTTTCTTATGTCTTCTTTTCGTATTTTCTTTTTTAATTCAATATTAATTGATATTTTTTTTATTAATCTCTTTTAATATAGATCAAATTCAATAAAATTAAGCATATTTTAACTTGACCTAACTCAATTTATCTTGACTTTATTTAAAACAATCCAACACATTTTGATCATACACAATTCATCTCGGTCCAATAGTTTTCGACAAGATTCATCATGTACTGACTTGACACAATTCATCTCAACCCATCTAACATATCTTAACTTGACCTGTCCTAATTTATTCTAATCCAATTCATCATAACTTGATCCATTTTGATTTGTCTTAATCATAACTTGATCCATTTTGATTTGCCTTATTCGTGTTGATTTGATTTTTCCTAATGTGACACATTTGATCTTACTATGACCTAACTTATATTATTTTGGTATATCAATTTTGGCTATGACCTAACCTAACTCATCATAATCCAAATCAATCCAACATGGTCCAATTTTTTTCAATCTAGCCTAACTTATCCTAACAAAACCCATTACAACCTAACTCATCTTAACCCAACTTGACTCAACATTTTTTACCACTACAATTTATCTTGACCGAACTCAAGCTTATCAAATTAATTTGTTCCAATTTGTCTTGACTTGATTAAACTTATCATGATTTATCTGTTTAACTTAACTCATGCGAATAATTGTCAAGTATTATAAATAAGATCTAATTCATAAATTTATTAATGATAATATTTATAATTAATACTAATTAATTCAAATATTTAATCTAAAAAATAAAAATAAAAATTAATAATTTGTATTGTTTTATTTAAATAAATCATTAAAAAAACATTTTAAATAAAAATTACAAAATATCTTATGCAGACAATTTCCGATTCGAAAAGGAATACGTTTTATTCAATTTTTGACAAATGATGTTACTCATTTCATACAACAGCACAAAACAGAAAGAGCAAATGGTTTACATGTGCCCCCTTTAACAAAACCCTGTTTATGGCAGCTTATGTTGCACGCTTTCACCATTTTGGCATGCCTCCTTGCAGCTTAGTAGTGGAGACTCCCAACAAGTTACTACTCCTGCAACATCACCATAAATATTAATTTCCATCCAAAATTAAATCATATCATTCTTTTCTTCAACACATCAAACATCTTTTATTTTTTCCTTAAAGTCAAAATCAAAACATTTTAAAAATTTAAAACATCTTCAAAGAAAAAGCTTGTTGAATTTTTTTCCTCTTTCTTTCTCTGAAACGATAGTCTAAGAATATAAAAAAGTTACAAGATAGAACTTTTATTTTCCCTTACCTGAAGCCAAAACCATAGCAATGCATAAAACGCCTAAAAGATGAGGTTGATAAGTATGGAAAGCCATTGTAAGAATTCCACCAAATACTCTCTTTTTTTGCAAGATAGAGTGCTTACTTCAAACTCATTATATAATAATACTATTTTCTTTGTCATTCTAATTACGAGATTCGGGAAAACAAAGTTGAAAAAGTCTACAAACGTTTCTGTATTAAATATTTTTTGTAGGTATTAAGTTTTAAATGTTCATTTATTATTGGGTCTAGGTATTTAAAAATCGTAAATTTAATACCAAACATATTGTAACATATAATGGAAAATTATTTTAGTGAATTTTTTAAAACATTTAAAAGGGAGTTTTTAACAAGAATTAGTTTAAAAATAAAATTTAATATTTTATTATAGGTTTTATAATTAAGTTGTTTAAAACATGGTCAAAGTTATTTATTTAAATAATTTTTTTCAATTTTAAGTAATTTTTTTCGTTGAAATCTATAATATATATTGGTATTATAAAATATTTTAAAGTGAAACTTATCATTAAAATAATAGCGTGATTATTAAATACTTGTTTCATTAAATTTTAGAAATCCGTTTTAAATTATTTTTTTTATGATAAAAAAATTGACAACTTTAATTTGAGAAGTGTCTTAAACGAAGATGATGTAGTCGTTACAAAACTTAAAGAAAGAAAGGCACACCTAGCATCAAAGAAAATAAAATATATTTTTTATAATTTTTTTTTTACATTTTGAAAATTATAATTAATTTTATAAATTGTTTTAGCACAATAATTATCAAATATATTTTTTTAAATTAAAAAGCTCAAAACTATTTTTAAAAATTGTAATAAATTAACAAGTCATAAGTATTTTTTTTTTATTACACTTAGATGTTCTTACATTTTTTTATACCAAAGCTCATAAGTTTGTTAATCTTAACATTGAATATAGTGATAATTTTATTTGATGAAGAAATATTCATCTTTATTCAATTGATATTATGTCTAGTTTCTTTTCAACATAATAAATTTAAAATTTCATTTATGATAATAAAATCTCCTCTTCAGTTTCTCGGTAAAAAAAATTCAATGTTTTTTTCATTTAACTCTTGTTCAAACAACATTAATTGTATTTTATCAATTATTCTGTTATATATATATATATATATATATATATATATATATATATATTTATATTGTAATATAATTTTTTGTGTTAATCTTTAAATAAATTAAAAGGTATGCTTATTTATAGAAAAACAGAGGGTAAAAATTTATTAATATATGTAAATGAAAAAAAAATGATTTGATAATATATATATATATATATATATATATATATATATATATATATATATTATTTCCGTATAAGAGAAGACTTACTTCAAACTCATTGTATATACTGTTAAATATTTCTTATTTAAAATTGGATAATATTAATATTTATTATTTTTGAAAAATTTGTTAATCTTTTATCATTTTAATAGTTTCTATACAAAAATTATTTTTAATAATTTATTATCCTTTTTATAATAAATATATTTAAAAAGATAAGAGTATAATTGATTGAAAATAATTAAATATTCTTAAACTTTACATTAAAAATATTTTTTTCTTTAACAAAATAACAATTATTTAAAAATAAAGAGAATGTTTTCTTTGTAACTATGATTACAAATTAGGGGAAAGAAAATTGGAAAAGACTTGAAAAAGTATAGAAACGCTTCTCTTTTAAATAGTTTAAAGGTATGAAGTTTTAATAGTATGGGGTAGATATTTAAGAGAGGATAGTTAATTTTAAGAATCAATCTTATTACATTTTAAAAAATTATTTAAATGAAATACTTATAATTTGTTATGTAATTAGATTTGTTTATTAATGATTTTTTTCTCACTTATTTCTTTAAATTTTTTTTCTTTATTTTATCAAATACTGAGGAATGAAAAAAACAATAATGAATAAGAAACGAGGAAAATAAGAAAATAAATAATTGTTTTATTCAGATGATTTTATTTTTTTGGAATTATATAAATATTATCAAAATATTTAGATAAATAAATTATATTTTAGTGTGTTAATTAACCTAATTTATCTATTTTAATAGTTTAAAAAGAATAAAAAATATATATATATATATATATATATATATATATATTCTTTTTTAAATGAATCAACCTACTTATTTGACCTAGCAACCGGTAACGGGTTGAGTAAAATTTTTAACTTAAAAAAACGAATCGAATTGATGAAATTTTAATGTAACCGAAATGAATGAGTCCTTAATAGAATAATAGTTTAGAGGAATGTGAAAATATATTTTTCTATTTTTATTTGAGAATTGACATGCCTGTACTTTGATTCATGTTTGTTAGCATTTTTAACTTTAAAGGGACCAGCATATTGAGCAGGGTATGTGTCACAAATTAATTTGTATGCATAATATTATATAAAATTAGTAGAATAGTTAACTGTTATAGTCCCTTATAGTGATTTTTTTAAAGGTTTAGACCCCTTATATGGGAAACTTATTAAATTAGAGATATCAGCACTAATTTAAGGAATTGAATTATTGAAGAAGTAAAAGGACAATTAAACAGAGATATTGTGAATGCAGGAAAAAAAGAAAAAGAGACAGAGTGGGTGAGTAATTTGTGTGTATATTAAGAGGAATAATGAAGCTGAGGGTGACTGGTATATGCTTGTGGAAGAAGAAAAATAGAAGGGTGTCTTTAATAAACAAAATCAATAAATAAATGATGAATGTAGTGTCAGATTTTTCTAAAGAGTTCAAATGACCAATATAATTTTTCTTAAAGTTAAATTAGAGATTTTTAATTAAATAAGAAAAACTGTTCCAGTTATCGTTTACTTTCAAAGTTTTTTTTAAAAAATTTACACAAGTTCCAGTAAAAGCCTAAAATATAGTATTTTAAACTAGTATCGGTATAAAAAATAGAAAGAACAATATTCAAATATTATTATTTTAGATTATTTAGATTTATAAATACAAATGTAAATAGAAGGAAAATTTTGAGCATTGTCACTAAAAAAGGAATTTATTTGTCATCTAGCATCAGATGATTTCAATTTTTTCTTAACATTTAATTTATATATTCGAGATAAATCGATGTAAACATATATTAATTATTTACAAAAATATCAAATTTTTTTTATATGGGTTATGAAACGACCTATATACAAAATTTCGTTATTAATCAGTGTTTCTTTTCTTACTGATTTTTCTCCATACTTTAGTATATGTGAAAAAACATTATGTCTTTGTTTATTTAAATTTTACTATTTTTAATAATATATATATTATTTTTAATCTGAGTAACCTATTCTAATATTTAAAATAATACTAAGTATAAAGTATACACACTTGTTTCAAAAATTAAAAATTATCACTATTTCAGAAAGGTTAAATTAATCAAAATTTAAAAGATTAAGTTAATACAAATTAAAGAGAAAACTTTATATAATTTGTCCAATAATTCTAAAAAAACTGTATAAAAATTATTGTTTCAATAATATTTTAAAGATGTTTATCTGTAAGAACTAAAACAAATCGATTTGAGATAATCTAAATTTGGCAGGGAACTATTTTGTACTGTTATACAATATTTTTGTTGGTTGTTGTCAGATGCGAATATTATCACTGTTCTGAAGTTAGTTTTCCACACTACACCAAATTATTGAGTCTGAACCTTGAATAAGCCCTAGCGGTGCACCCACCCACCCACCATATGAAAGAAGGCAAAAACAAATATTATCTGTAAGAGTTTTTAAAAAATTGTTGATATACTTTATAGCTTATTTTTTTCATTAAAAGTCCAATAGAAACACATTTAAATACAATACATAAATCTCACTCTAGATGTTTTACTCATATAAAGAACACTTCCTACGTTACTCCCATTTTAATACATTTCAACTACTTCAATTCCATTACCAGTATATATTATATATATGTTGAAGATTTTGTAATAGTTATATAATTTTTGAACGTGAAGTTGAATTCTTGCTAGATTTCTATTGGAGGTGCATTGTTTAATAATGTTTTAGTGAATAAGAGTTCCTTTCTCATAAAGACTGTGGCACCGTTTGGTAGCACCACTCAGGATAGAACGAATGGCTGAAGGCACAAAATCCGGAGGTGAGGCTAAGAAACAAGCGGCACGAGGTTTTGTTTTCATTGATGCCTTCACTTTTCTTTCCAAAACTGCTTTTCTCTCTCTCTACAAACCCACCAACTTCTCTCTCTCTCGCACTTACTGAGTCTCCAGAGCCCTTTTGAACTTTGAACTTATCTAAGAAAGAGAAAAACAAAAATAGTATAAAATAGAAAGTTTAGCCAAACAAAGTGAAACTTCCCAGAACAAACCAGAACATACACATGGGGGTTTCCTAGGTCTAAGATTTAGTCAATTTAACCCTTTGGGTGTCCTTCAAATTGCCATGCTCATGTCAAGGTCTTGAGAGGCTTTCTGGGTTTTGTTGAAGAACTCTGCTTCGCTTTTGTTCACTGCAGTGTAATATTCATAGATAGCCCTCTCTTTCTGTAGAATTTAGTTAGCGTTTTGTTGTAAATTTTTCCGCTTCCATGTAAATTCAGTAGTAAAAAGTGTGTTGTTCTTCTTCCTTGTGTTGTATGATTATCATTGTTGTATTGAATTTTTTGGTTGGTGTGATAATGACCCAATTGGGAATAAAAAATTAAGTTAAAAATTCTCATGAACAGTGCGGGTCGCTTTCTTCAAAGGTAGGAGAGGGTTTTATTGTATGGTTTACGATATCTAATATGTTGATCCTCTTGTGTGTGGTGGGTGTTAATACATGGAACCAGATGTTTTATGTTGCATCCCTTCGTAGGATTTGAGATACCCTTATCCCTTTGCTTCCTTAATTGGAAACAAGCACACTATAGCAGATCTTTCCCCTTTTTCACTTCCGAAGTACACACACATCACATACATAATTTTTTTTTAAATAAAATCATACCTATCTTTCTCTCACCCTGTACTTCTATCTGTACGTCTTTATCTTTTTTTCTCTCTCCTCTCTTTCACTCCAAACACCCCATTCCTATACCATATCTGAAGCCAACAGAATTACCAAAAGGGTTTTCAAAGTTTTTGAACCTAGATAGTGGTTTTTCTTCATCTTTTTTGTCCCTTTTTTTCATACTCGTTGCAAGATCTTGAATTTGTTGAGATGGAGTGTGAAGTTGAGTTACAAGGGGGAGATCTGCATGCAGAGGTGGTAGCTGAACCAAACCCTGTTGGTTTTGGCACCACCATGGAAGGCGAACCCACTTTGTCGGTTGCTGAGAGAGAGATGTGGCTGAATAGTGACCAAGACGAGTTTCTAGGAGTCAATGATACTTCCATGTTCTACGCTGATTTCCCTCCTCTCCCTGATTTCCCTTGCATGTCGTCATCGTCGTCTTCATCTTCCGCACCACCACTTCCTGTGAAAACCATGACATGTTCCACCACAACCACCACCACAACAACCACCACTGCGACTTCCTCTTCTTCCTCTTCCTCTTCATGGGCCGTGTTGAAGTCAGATGTCGAGGAAGATGTGGAGAAAAACCATTGCAACGGCCACATGCATGACCAATTTGATGCAACAGCCTTGTCTTCCACTGCTTCCATGGAGATCTGCCAGCAGCAAAATCCGGATCCTGGCCTCGGTGCCTCTGTTGGAGAGTGCATGGAGGATGTTATGGACACTTTTGGGTACATGGAGCTTTTAGAGGCCAATGATTTCTTCGACCCTGCCTCAATCTTTCAGACTGAGGAAAACGACAATCCTTTAGGGGAATTTGGCACAATGGAAGAACAGGTCTCACCGCAAGAAGAGCAACAGGATATGGTGCATCAGCAAGGTAACAACACAAAAGAGGACCATCAGGTTCCCGTATGTGAAGAGATTCAAGGAGATGAAGAAGGTGGTGACGGTCGTGGTGGTTTAGTAGATGATGAAATGAGTAATGTCTTCTTGGAGTGGCTCAAATCTAACAAAGATAGTGTTTCTGCTAACGACTTGAGGAATGTGAAGCTCAAAAAGGCAACGATTGAAAGCGCAGCAAAGCGTTTGGGGGGAGGAAAAGAAGCTATGAAACAATTGCTAAAGCTGATTCTTGAGTGGGTTCAGACCAGCCATCTTCAGAATAAACGGCGCAAGGAGAATAGCGGCAACATTAATAATGCTCTTCAGTCACAGTTTCAGGATCCTAGTGGCCAGAACAACCAGAACACAAATACTAGTGGCTCATTTGCACCTGAGTCGAACTCTTGTTTAAACAACCACACACCCTGGTTGAGTCCTCAAACTTTTGGGACGGATCAGGCCCCTCTCATGGTGCCATCACAGCCATATTCACAACCCATGGTTGGGTATGTGGGTGACCCTTACACTAGTGGTTCTGCTTCAAATAACATTACACCCACTCATAACCATAACAACAACCCTTACCAACCTGGCACGGACCAGTATCACATGTTGGATTCAGCTCACTCATGGCCTCATTCCCAGTTTAATGTTGCTTCTCACTACAGCCAGTCTTATGGGGATAATGGTATTTTCCCACATGGGGGTTTTGGCGGCTACAGTAATAATCAGTACCCTTATCAGTTTTTTCATGGTCCTGGTGATAGGTTGATGAGGTTAGGCCCCTCGGCGACCAAGGAAGCAAGGAAGAAGAGAATGGCAAGGCAGAGAAGGTTTGTATCTCATCACAGGAATCACAGCAACAATCACCACCAGAATCAAGGGTCTGACCCACAGGCAAGACTGGGAAGTGATAATTGCACCACTGGTTTGGTTGCACCGCATCATGCAAATCCTGCAGCAGCCAATTGGATGTACTGGCAAGCTATGACGGGTGGCGCGGCCGGTCCTTTGGCGCCAGTGATTCCATCCGAGCCAACGGCCGGACAACCGATGGTGGACCGGCCCACCATGCAGACACAGATTTCTCACCAAAATAGAGCTGCATCAGATAGAAGACAGGTTGGTGAACCTTAATTTGATCAGATATTGATGTTACATGATTCTTTTGGTTAACGTCTGATCTTTATGTGTGAGTAGTAGAATGTATATGCAGCATTTGGTCATTATGAACATTATCGTGAATTTGTTGAGATAGAGTTATAGTTTTATTGTGTTATGAATAATGTGACTATGTGTTTGATTGATAGGGCTGGAAGCCTGAGAAGAACTTGAGGTTCCTCCTGCAAAAGGTGTTGAAGCAAAGCGATGTGGGAAGTTTGGGGAGAATAGTTTTGCCAAAAGTAATAATGATCATTTATCAGCTCTTTTTTGTGTCAATTATTACTTGCAAGTAGATCTGTTTATAATTTTATATGGTGGAAAAGTATACTTCATGTGTTGATATGGATTAATTTGAATTGTCATTTTGATCAGAAAGAAGCAGAAACCCATTTGCCAGAGCTGGAAGCAAGAGATGGAATTTCCATAACAATGGAAGACATTGGAACTTCACGTGTTTGGAACATGCGCTATAGGTATTCCGTGTTTCATTGACATCTTTTCTGTTTTTCCTATTGTTTTAACCTTTGTGTGATACGTTGAGATTAAAAATTTTTCTCTTCTGAATCATTTCTTCTTGGAGCACCAGATACTGGCCAAACAACAAAAGCAGAATGTATTTGCTCGAGAACACTGGTGAGGTTCTTTGCTTAGGATTCGTTCGTCAATTTTTCTTTCATTCTCAAGAAACTTAATTTTTTCACACATTCATATTTAATTTTGCAGGTGACTTTGTGAGAGCCAATGGACTCCAAGAAGGAGATTTCATAGTCATATACTCAGATGTGAAGTGTGGCAAATACGTAAGAGCCTTTTCCTATTTCCATTTTTCAATATCTGAACTTGTTTTGAGGAATAATATTATTTTTTTATAGCTCTGTGTTTCTACAAATATTATAACAGAAAAATATATATGAATACAAATCTGTTTATCTCCATTCAAAAAGTTGAGAATTAACTGGTGGGACTTTATTTTATTTTTTACTTTTTTTGAACAGATGATAAGAGGAGTGAAAGTGAGGCAACAAGGTGTGAAACCAGAGACCAAGAAAGCAGGAAAATCGCAGAAAAACCAGCATGGGACTCATGCATCAAATACAGCTGGAACTGCTGCTAATAATGGCAGGTCATCGTCACCCAAACCAAAAGCTGAAAAAAAAGTAGCAAATTAGTATAATAATAACATATAATATATAGTATTAGGATAATATGTATGTACAATATTATTATATATAAATTATATAATAAAATAAGATACCATGAAGTCTGAACACGGTGCTCACATAATGTTGTGGGGTTTGAGCATGCCCTTCAATGGAGGCTGTCAACAAGGATTTGTATAACAGTATTTTGAGTTATATTTCTCTTCGTATTTAAATACAATTTATGTCAAAATGTTGTATTATGTGTTTAACGTTTGTGGATATACACGTTACTTTGATATAGCGATCTATATCATGTCTATTTCTGACTTGAATTTCACATTAAATTTGATCGAAAATGAATCATGTTTTGGATGTATTATGCCGGAGCGATAGAGGATCTATTAGTATCATATGCTCTTCAACTTTTAATAATTTTTAATTATTGTGAATAAATAATTAAAAAGTGTTAAATCTCCTTGAAATTGCTGAAAATATATGGATATAACTTTTTATACTGAAAAAAAAAATGTCACGTATAGTAGTAATCATTAGTTTTGAAAGAGAGATTTTCTTTTCCTTTTGGATGGATAAGTCCAATTAGATTATTGGGTGAAGCAGAAAGTGGAGTTCACATAACATCTCGTGATAGAAAATAATATCCATAGTTGGATTAATTCTTGACTTACGCTACAGAAGAGAAGAGAACAATAATTATAAAAAAGAAAAAAAGAAAAAGAAAGAAAGAGTGAAAAGAGAAGAAAGTGGTGCATGTGACGTAGGTTTATATTGTTTGACTTGTTTAGTGTTTAAGGTTGAAGGAGCCGTGTGAATACCGTCTCTTGAAGGAAGAAGATGATTTGGTGTCAGGAATGGATTAACATTGTCTTTTAATTCTATTTGTGGAGAGAAATAAATGTAAAATCTGAAGATGGTGTGATATAATCACCCAAAATACTAAAATTATTAATAAAGATTAATGATTGGTAAATCCATAAATATTCACACTTACAAGATAAAAGCGAAAATAATTCTTTTTGACCAATTAGTAAATAAACATAGAATTCAATTTATAGTAGAACTCGGATAAATAACTTCCTAAAACCCAGAAAAAAAACATTTTTATATTTTAATTCTTATGTCACACATGCTTGTGTTTGTTTGTTTGTTCCATTTTTACTCACACAAAAGGTCAAATTCCATGACCCGAGACAATTTTTTTTTTTACACCCGAATGAGCGAAACCTTATTTGGATAAGGTAAACGTGCTCAAAATAAAATTATTTTTAAAGTGTAAGTATATTTAGCAAATATTAACAAGTGTTTTGAAACACTAATTAAGAAACTAAAAAAAAAACATTATAAGTCATTGATTTAGTTTTTACTCTAATTTCCAATGCATTGCAGTTTGATTTTTATAACTAGTGAGCAATATCCACAATAAAATCTACTGTCTAAAATTATTTTATTTTTTACCTAAGAAAAGTTAAGAATAAAGGGGATAGTTGTTCTTTTTTTTTGTCTTGCACTCCAAATAGTTATTTTACATCTATATCTAAAAAAGAAAAGTTTATCTAAAGTCAGTGAGTGAAAAATTGAAATTTAACCAAACATAAGATCGCATGGTGTAAATCAATTCCAATTTTGTATACAATTTGCCAAGTTCTAGATGATAAAAAAAATCAAACTCCAAGTCAACATCACACACACTTCATTTCATGAAAAGGAAAATAAAATTATTATCTTAAGACACATGATTCATATTTCATTAAATAGTTTTCTATCTTGTATTTTTTAATAATTTGTTCTTTTTCAATCAAATTTTGTTTAGAATTTTTTTTCAGTCTTTAAAATTTAAACTAATTTATTTTATTAGTTGTGCCATTACTTTCTCTTAATTTTAAAACAAGGATTTATTTTCCCATTTTTATATAAAGAGCTAAAAAGACAAATAGAAAGAAATGAAGAGAATAGTAAGCAATAAAAAAATTGGAAAGAGCGAGTGAGAAAATCTGCACTCGTGTTTTTTGGAAAAGATGCAAAGTTTGCATGACGCGTTTCTATAGGACATGTTAATTGATTAGGAGAACAAGTTCCGAGAATGAGTTTGAGATAACCGTGCCTAATAATAACTCACCCAAAAACATTATTCTTTTTTTTTTAATAATTAATACTCTCTACTCATAAATACAGAATTTTTAAAAAATCACTAAAATTCAAAACATCGAATTTAATGACATTTAGGTTTTCTGTCTCTTCAGCGATAGTAAAGGATGGTCTAGCCATTACCTTAAAATATTCTTCCCAAATATTCTCTCTTAACCTTCACTTCTAAGTTTTGTTCATCATTTTGGATCCAATCCTGTGTTGCTAGGTTTTCATTGATGATCGCATTTTTATATCAATAAAACAAATTAAAGTATATAAATAAAAACTATCTTAATTTTACAAATTAATTTTGTGATAAGATTTAGGATTAAACCTAAATTATACATGATATTAGAATATATTTTTATTATTATTTTACCTATTGAAGCAACCATGGATTGTTATGTAATCATCCACACATATATTGTTAGGATGCAAAAGTTTTGAGTTTGTTATTAGTATATGTTTTTGCCAGTTAATTTTGAGTTTATGATAATAGTTATTTTTAACAATTGTATATAGATGAAATCAATGTCAATGAGAAAGTGTAGAGGTAAGCTAATCTATTATGACAAACTTAGAACTAACACACGTTACATACAATTATCTCATCAAACTCAAACTTAACTAAAAAACTATTTTATATCTTAACATGTCTAGTTATATAAATTTCGTATATGTTGTTAAGTATACCACCAATGATGAATTTCACACTGCATAATTTAATTTTATGAAGATGATTTACATAACTAAAACTTCAGCAAACCACATTCTCTTACAAAAGTACCTCATAAAGTGTCATGTAGATTATAATGGTTTGTTTATATGTACTTCTTCAATACAGGAAAAAAATGGTACATAATAAACAAAGATTACTTCATTGCTCACAATTATTATTAGGACTCTATCCCTTATACACAAGGAAACCAAAATTATGAAGCAGAATTAATTAATGACAGCATGATAGAAACCATTTTTGCTGAGGAAATCTTAGTTGCCTAGCCTGATTGCTATATTGAGTATTTGAAAGTTACTTTGGTGTCTGAGGGCGATGGGGAGAGTAATGCAGATGCAGATTTGTGCTGCTGGTGCTTATCATTGACATTGGTTCTTCATTAGGAAGATTTCTTTCTTGTTGATCATTTGCAGAAGATGCATGAAGAAGCATGTCAACTTTCACACATTCCTCTCTCTCCTGCCTAATTTCCTTCATCATTGCTACAACATCTTTCATGGTTGGTCTGTCATCTGGGCTTGAGTTCACACACAGCAAAGCCACTCCTAAGGTCTGCAACATTTCCTCAATTTCAGATTCTGGCCGAGCTCTCAAGCTTTCATCCAGCACTTCAACTCCACCTCTTTTCTGTCTCACCCAATCAACAATGTGGAGTCCATCAGGTATTGTTGGATCAATCGGTTGCTTCCCAGTTAGGACTTCTAGTACCACAATGCCATAGCTATAAACATCGCTTTTTTCTGTTATCTTCATCATGTACCCATACTCTTCAATCCCCAGATGCAAAAAAGGTAGTAATGTGTAGATGTTAGTATGTGATCGTGAAAGATAGCATATTCATAAAAATAATTTCAAATAAAATTTCCAGTGTATATATTCTTTATTCTATATAAAATGCAATAAAGAATGTGAAACATTTCTTTACAAATACATAGCTTTGTTCAGTTGTATTTGAGACAGACTCTCCTTAGTGGTGAATGATAAAACTAACACTAAATATTGAGTTGAATGTATTGAGGTGGTTGTACTATACTAACCAGGAGCAATGTAACCATAGGAACCAGCTAGTGTGCTAGAAGATCGCGCAAAATCTCTATCATCAACAAGTTTTGCAAGCCCAAAATCAGCTATGTACGGTTCAAATTCAGGGCCTATGAGGATGTTGTTGGCCTTGATGTCCCTATGAACAATGGGAGGAGCACAATCGTGGTGCAAATAAGCCACACCTTGTGCTGCTCCTAGTATTATCCGAAACCTTATGTCCCATTCCAAGCAGTTACCACTTCGTTCATGAAGTAGACTTCCTAGACTCCCATTTGGCATGTAGTCATACATAAGCAATCTTGTGTTTCTGTTCCAACAGCAACCCAGGAACCTTACAATGTTCTTGTGGCGAATTGAACCAAGAGTTTTTACTTCAGCTGAAAAGGAATCACGTACCCCTCCATTAACTGCTAACTTGTCACTTCGGTTATCACATTTTTCAGCTATTGTTGTTGGCCATAGCCTTTTCACAGCAATGACATCTCCATTTTCCATTTCGGCGCGATAAACAATCCCTGAACAACCCTTTCCAATTACATTGGATTCTATCAAACACTTCAAGACTTGCTCCACAGAGAAATTTACCTTTTGGAATGGGGTGAATTGCCAAGGCCATGAATCTCCTCCCATCTCAGAATCATTGTCTGCCTGAATGATTTTCCTTGCTCGAAAGACAGTCACAACTCCAAAGATTGCCATTGCAACAATCAAGGCACTGAGCAGTCCAATAGCCAGTTTGATTATCTCTGACCTCTTAGAATTAGTACCATTCAGCATTTTTGTCATAGCAGCATTGCTAACAAAACATGAATCATGACCGTTAGGACACAAACCTTGGTTTCCGGCCAATTCTGTTGCTGATAGTTGGTGGAATAACTTGCTGTCTGGTAGATAACCAGTGAACTTGTTGTAGGAAATGTTCAGAGAAACAAGATTTTCGAGCCCTGAAAAGGCCATCAAGTCACCTTCAAGATTGTTGTGTGAAAGGTCTAGAACTGACAGCTTGTTCAAAGAGGATATCTCTGGTGGGATCACTCCAGATAATGCATTGTGACTCAGATTTAGGGAAATATCAAGTGCTTCAATTTGAAGCAGTTGTGGTGGGATGCTCCCTGTGAAATTGTTGCTGCTAAGATCTAGCAGCTGAAGACCTGAACATTTCCCAATTGAGGAGGGAATTGGCCCAGAGAAAGAGTTTCTGCTTAGGATGACTCTAAGAAGTGAGGTGAGTTGGCCAATACCCATTGGAACCTCACCAGAAAAATTATTCATGGAAACATCCAAGACCTCTAGCCTTGTGAGAGAAGACAAATAACTAGGCAAAGAGCCAGAAAGGGAGTTGTTGCTTAGATTCAGCATTTGCAGTTCTTTACAGTTTCCAATCTCAAGTGGTACTGACCCAGTAAGCTGATTTTCAGAGAGATCAAGGAAATAAAGACTGTTAAGGAAGCCAATTTCTCTCGGTATCTCCCCACTGATTCTGTTGTCTACAAGCCGGAGGCGAATGAGGGAACTACAGTTGCCAATCTCAGGAGGGATAGGGCCAGAAATATCATTAGATATTAGCAGAAGCTTTGTTAAATTTTGAAGTTTAAACAGGACTGGGGGTAAGCTATCAGTGAGTGCATTGTACGACAAATCCAAAGCCTCAAGGCTTCTACAACCTCCCAGCGATGATGGAATGCCACCTTCAAGTTTGTTCTGCCAAGCAAAAAAGACTGTTAGCTTTGTCAATCTTCCAAGCTCATGTGGAATTGAACCTGATAGCTGATTAGTATCCAACTGCAACTGTATGAGGTTTGTGAGATTGGACAGAGCTGGTGGTATTGAACCAGAAATGTTATTGTTACTCAGCATAAGTTCTTCAAGATTTGAGAGTTTCCCCAAACTTTCGGGTATTACACCAGAGAGAGAATTTAAGGAAACATCAAGAATCTTCAAGTTTCTGCAGTT